GGTTTAAATAAAATAAGGTTTCAGTCACGGATTATCATTAAACTTATTTTATGTTCACAATAATAACTTACTGGGGTGCAAAAAACAGTAAAATGCTTTATTATTTCAATGTGGGACGCTTCCAGAAATTTGTTTGACGCTCATAGACCTGCACGAGTCATTTTATTTTTTAATAGTGTACACAAAAGGCTTTTCCCACAATAAAAGTTTGGTCTTTTCCTTTGTCCAAAATGTAATAAAATACAGCTAAGTAAACGGTATTTAATTAGAATTGTATTTAGTGAAAGAGCAGAAACTTCTTGATTGTGGAGGTTCATCTCCATTTTAACCCAGTAATAACAGTTTGTAAAATGACCACTAGGTGGCAGCCTCACCTGAAGGCAGCATCAACCCACGTGATCAATCTGAGCCCTCAGGTTTATAAATGTTACACAACTTGAACATTGCCCAGTGCAGACACATCCACCTGTCTCCACCCATAGACATCATATAATCACTTTATATGATATCTACGCCTACAACCAGGTGTCCTTACTCCACCAGGACCTGGAGGCGTTCAATGACCAGGGGAAAAAATCTTTTTCTCCCTCCCGCCGTTCTGGCGCCATTAATCTGGTTTTAAAACGACGTTCTGGCGGGATTTTCGCCGGACCGACGTGTTTTACGCGGCTCTTTCACCAGACGCGTTAAAAATGTCGGTTTGTGTCACTTTTGGCTTACCAGACATACACCTAAAGCCCAGTGCTCGGACACTCGTCTCTATCCTGAAGACATCTGAATCATTGTCTGCTTTACGTTAAATCCTTGCCATGTTGGGTTGCCAGGTAGGGTTTTAGGTAAACTATGTAAATACATGCGTGTAAAAATATTTTCTACCAAATAAATTAGAAAATCATTTGTAATGCGTAATGAAATGGTAGACTTTGATAATGAGCACTAATATTTCTACATGAGTAAAATCACATCATGGTGAATAAACATGGATTTTACAGAAACTTCAAATTAATTTCAGGGGGGCATTTTCAAGTCGACTAAGATTTTTGTTCTTGTCCACTAAAAACTTTAAATATATTTTGTTGCTGTTAAAAGTACTTACCTTAAATCAAGGCTAAAAACCGACCTGTTTACCAGTACAATAAAAAATGAACCTAAATTGTGTGGGGTACCTGTGAACAATACACTTCAACAGTAACAGCATACTCATATGTGACCTGACTCTAATAAACTCACACTCTGCCCCGCTTAAGAAAGTCTCAACATTCAAATGTACCAGGTCATTAATGCATGGACACAGTGAAACGGCTGGTTCACAGGTTACATTACAAACTTCTCTTGAGTTACACAGACTGCCATGCACTGCAGCTGTATATACTCCTGATGTAATCAGTTTATCTTTTTTTTTCTCTCTATCCAATATTTAGTTAATAACCATAATCAAACTAACTCCTCGTCTATGGGCATGTGCTTCCTTCTACATTTCATTTACAAAATAAAACATTTCCCATTTCTCTTATACCTATTTGTCATGTGTATCACAGTACTTCAAATAGGCATATTTGGGACAATCTGATATACTCTAATACAAAGTGAGACCTTTTTTTTTTACTAAGACCACCAGTAACCTTGTACATTTACATATTTAGTAGCTACTGTGCTCTGTGAAACTTGGTTGTCCAAGTGCACTACACGTCAAAGTCCGTTGTCTAATTCGCTCTCTCTTTGGGCGTGGACTTGGCTGTTTTTTGTCTCTACAGCCTGTTCAGTGTCAGAAACACTCTCCGCATCCCCTGAGCCCTTGAAGTTCACATCCTGTGGTTCAATAATGTTGACATTTTCCTCAGTAGTTTGTGTGGGATCACCCTGGCCATCTTCTGTCATGTGAAGAGGTTCATTACATTTGTCCATTTGTGGCACAAATTCTGCAGCCATGGGGTCCAGTGTAGGTGAACTGCTAGGCTCTGGAAGAGGCCGTGTGAAGATTACATCCTCTTCTGAAACCTCTTCCTCACTTCCCATTTGCTGTGTGTGTTTCACACATGTTCGTCTCTGTTGTCATGTCTCTTCTTTGTTTTCGTACAGATTACAGTCATGTTCTCATCTGAATGGAGTGGAAGGAAATCACAGGGTAACAACATATTCCTGTGTAAAACCCTTGGCCTGCCTTTACCAGTTTCTGCCTCCATTTCAAACACAGGACTGTCCTCCCCCATTTGACGTTTAACAACATAGATATTATCTTCCCAATAGGAGAGGATTTTGCCTGGCCCTCCCTTTTCGGCCACATTTCTATCAAGTACACGACTACCTACTCGCAGTGCTGGACTTTGTGTTCTCTTACTGTATTTTACCTCGATCAGTGGACTTAGCTGCAATTTTGGAGGCAATGCTGTATGCCTCAGCCATCCTTTGTCCCCATCTGTCCACATAGTCCTGGTAGAAACCTGAACCTTTCCCTTGCTCAGTGCCAAAGAAAAGATCAGCTGGTAACCGTGGCGACCTCCCAAACAGTAAGAAGAAAGGAGAGTAGTGGCGTCGTTAACAGTGCAACTGTATGCATGTGCAACTTTATGGAGGTGACATTTCCAGTCTGTTTTCTGTTCCTCTGTTAGGGTCCTTAACATAGAAGAGTCTGTTAAATCTTTCGGTTTGTCCATTTCCTTGTGGGTGATAGGGGGTGGTGTGTGTGACCCCTTAACACCAGACAGTTCTTTCAGCTGTGTATCACTTGTTCTCAAACACTCGTCCTAAATCATGGTGTAGTTTTTCCGGAAAGCCAAATCTGAGACAAAAGTCATTGAACAGTTTATCTGCCACCATCTTTGCTGATTTATTTGTAGCTGTGTAGGTTTGAGCAAAGCGGGTGTAGTGGTCCGTAACTACCAGTATATACTCAAAACCACCTTTTCAGTGCAAAAAGTCAACTGATACTAGCTGAAATGGTTGAGTGGTCCCTATACTCAACATAGAAGCATGTGCCTGCCTGTTAGGTTTTCTTTTCTTTAGACATTCACAAACGTTAGTGACAAAATGTTCAATGTCCCTTTGCATCGTAGGCCAAAAGAAACAATCCCTAAAAAGACTGAGTGTCCGCTCTGAGCCCAAGTGACCCATTTGTTTATTCAGTTCATCTAACACTAGAGG